AGTACAATGCTGTCAGTGATATGATAATATCCATGTGCCTGCAAGGAAGAGCAATTAATACCACTATTATTCAAATTTACACACCAACTACTAAAGTCAAAGGTGAAGAAATTGAAAATTCTTACCAATTTCTGAGTCTTAAATTAACCAAACATGCAATCAAAATATATTGATAATTACTGGTGATTGGAACGCAAAAGTTAGAAATGAAAAAACATCAGTAGTTGGAAAATATGGCGCCAGAGATCACATAAAATAATTTTGCAAGACCAATGACTATTCACTGCAAATACCTTTCTCAACAATGTAAACAGTGAGTATACTCATGGATCACCAGATGGAACACACAAGATTCAAATTGATTACATCTGTGGAAAGAGGCAATGGAGAAGCTCAATATCATCAGTCAGAACAAGGCCAGGAGCTGACTGTGAAACAAGCGATCAATTGCTCATATGCAAGTTCAAGTTGAAGCTGAAGACAATTAAAACAAGTCCATGAGAACCAGAGTATGACCTTGATTATATCCCACCTGAATTTAGAGACCATCTGAAGAAAAAATTTGATACACTGAACACCAATGACTAAAGACAAGATGAGTTAAGGGAATGACATCAAGAATGTCATACATGAAGATCATTAAAAAGAAAGAAAAGACCAAAATGGATGTCAGAAGAGACTCTGAAACTTGTTCTTGAACAGAGAGTAGCTAAAGCAAATGGAAGACATCAGAAATAAAAGTGCTGAACAGAAGATTTCAAAGGGTGGCTTGAGAAGAAAAAGTATTATAATGAAATGTGCAAAGACATAGCATAAGAAAAGCAAAAGTGAAGAGTGCAGTCGGCATTTCTCAGTCTGAAAGAACTGAAGAAAAAATTCAAGCCTCGAGTTGTAATATTGAAGGATTCTTGGGGCAAAATATTGAGTAATGTAGGAAGCATCAAAAGAATATGGAATGAATACACAGAGTTACATTACCAAAAAGAATTAGTTGACAGTCAGCCCTTCCAGAAGGTAGCATATGATCAAGAATTGATGATACTGAAGGAAGAGGTCTAAACTGCACTGAAGGAATTGGTGAAAAACAAAGCTCTAAGAATTGATGAAATACCCACTGAAATGTTTCAACAAATGGATGTAGCACTGGAGATGCTTACTAGTTTATGACAAGAAATTTGGAAGACAGCTACCTGGCCAACCAACTGAAAGAGATCCATATTTGTGCCTATTCCAAAGAAAAGTGATCCAACAGAATGCAGAAATTATTGAACAATATCAATAATATCACACAAGTAAAATTTTGCTGAAGATAATTAAAAAATGATTGCAACAGTACATGGATAGGAAACTGCCAGATATTCAAGAGAGGTTCATAAGAGGGTGTGAAACAAGGGATATCATTGCTGGTGTCAATTGGATCTTGGCTGAAAGCAAAGAATATCTGAAAGATGTTTACCTGTGTTTTATTGACTATGTAAAATCATTCGACTGTGTGGATCATTATGAATTATGGATAACTTTGTGAAGAATGGTTTTGGTTACCTAGTGCCGCTCTGACAAGAATATACCACAAATAGGATGGCTTGAACAAACAGGAGTTTATTCTTAGAGTTTGGAGGCTTTAAGTCCGAGTTCAAAGTGCCAGGCTCTAGGGGCTGGGTGAAAGCCCCTCAGCCTTGGGCTTCAGCTCTGCCTCCAGCCCACTGAAGCTAGAGGCTTTTCTTCACTCCGACAGCTGCTGGCTGCTGAGGCTGCCAAGCCCAAGGTTGACAAGTAAAAAGGCACAGTCCCGATGTTACCAAACCACACGGTAGGCCATTCATTCACTGAAAGCCCCAACGTCAGCAGAACATGGCAGGCTGCTGAACAACAATACAGCTACATGCAGGGTTCAAGTGTGCCATAAGCCAGAGACTTTTCCCAAAGCTGTTTCTTATATACGGGAAGCAGACCACATACCCAAAGCAGCTACTCAGCTGCTCACAGTAGATTCCACCATGGAGTTAATTACCAATCTCACCATGGGGAATAACTACATTCAGTTGCCCAGCCACTCAATTCAGGTCCAGCCAAGTTGACGCACAAATACAGTTGTGGTAATTGGGAATTCCAGAACACTTTATTGTGCTCATGCAGAACCTGTACATGGACCAAGAGGTAGTCTTTGGAACAGAACAAGGGGATACTGAATGGTCTAAAATCAGGAAAGGTGTGCTGCAGAGTGGTGTCCTTTTGCCATACTTATTCGATCTGTATGCTGAGCAAATAATCTGAGGAGTTGGACTATGCGAAGAATGCAACAGTCTGTTACATGCAGATGACACAACCTTGTTTGCTGAAAGTAAAGATGACTTGACATGTTTACTGATGAAGATCAAAGACAACAGTCTGCAGTATGGATTATATCTCAACATAAAGAAAACAAAATCCTCACAAGTGGGCCACTAAGCAACATCGTGATAAATGGAGAAAAGGTTGAAGTTAGGATTTCATTTTATTTGGATCCACATCATCACCTGTGGAAGCAGCAATCAAGAAATGAAATGGCATATTGCACTGGGCAAATTTTTTGCAAAAGACTTCTTTGAAGCATTAAAGAGCAAAGATGTCACTCTGAAAACTAGGGTACGTCTGACCCAAGCCATAGTATTGTCAGTAGCCTCATATGTGTGTGAAAGCTGGACAGTAAATAAAGAAGATGGAAGAAGAGTTGATGCCTTTGAAAGGTGGTGTTGGTGAAGAATACTGAAAATACCATGGACTACCAGAAGAATGAACAAATCTGTCTTGGAAGAACTATAGCCAGAATGGTCCTCAGGAGTGAGAGTCACCAGACTTTGTCTCACATACATTAGTCACATTGCCAGAAGGTACCAGTCTCTAGAGAAGAATATCATGCATGGTAAAGTATAGGGTTAGCAAAAAAGGGGAAGACTCTCAACAAGATGAATTGAGATAGTGGTTACAACGAGGGGCTTGAGCATAGCAAAGATTATGAGGATGGTGTAGGACTAGACATTGTTTTGTTCTGTTGTACATAGGGTCGCTATGAGTTGAAGCCAACTTCACTGCACCTAACAATAACAACAATGTGTCTGGGGTGGAAAGGCAAATTCTCAGCAGGGAGTCAAACTGGAATGAACCAGTTCAAAGCTCTGGAAAGAACAAATTCAGCAGGCAAAGTATCATGAACTGTGGACTATATGATTCCGTTTTTGCCCTCTGCTAGAGGATGAACCTGTGGAACAGCTGTAGCATAAGTAGTTCTGAGTTCCATAATGAGAGAACAGAAGTGCCTTAGAGATTTGCAGGAATGCAAGATCATTTCTAGTGGATACTTTAGGGGTAAGTGAGGAGGAAAGGTGGGAGCTGAGAGAGAAACATTTAGCTCCTTGCCATTCTCTGAAGAAGCCAAATTGTTTCATGCCTGTTTCTTGTATATTTCCTCTGCTTGGAATATATCCCCAGCCCCTGTAAGAACTAACTGCTAACTTCTGTGTCTCAACAGTTTTCAGGGCATGTTTCTTTCCTCTAAAATTTCTGAAGTACGTGGGGGCATTACCCATCCATCCTTGTGCAAAGCTTACTACAAAGTAGGACATAAATGAAAATGTTTGCAGAAGGGAAATAAGATTGATGGAAGTAGAGGAAAAAAAGGAGGGGAATATCCAAAGGAAGGAAAAGAGGTCAACATATAATAGGAGAGTGGCAGAGAAATGGAAGAAGAGCTATTTCTTAGGTGCTGAATTAGTTAGAAATTTATCTTTTCATAACCTGGGTTGTAGGAGAAAAGGATCATCATTTCTAGCTTGGGTTAGCCATTTGGCTTATACTTCATCTTCCATTCAGACTGTAAACCCTCTGAGGGCAGAGATTCACAACATAGTGTGTATGTGCCTATTTAAAAACAAAACAAAAAAACAGTTGCCATCAAGCTGATTCTGACTAAGGGCGACTCCCCAAGTGTGTTGGAAAATTTCCTTTATTCTCTCCCTAATACTTACTTCTTATACAAACTTTGTAACAATGGTAAAGGACCCTGTTTCAAGCTTTAGAAGATTCTGGCTACCGATGGGACAACTTCAGCTGAGTGGGTCTTATTCTCTGTTGCACTGTGGCAGTAAACATTAGTACAGTAGCACCAAGATCAGAGCTTGTTCATTGTTGATTCAAATCTTTGTCCAAGCCTTGATCTAGTTTTTAAGATTCTTTCTTAGACAAAATTCAGGGACTTTTGTTTTACTGTAGAGCTATACTAAATTAAACTAAAATGGCTTGCTTAAATTGGCCTTTAATTATATTTCAAGGATTAGTAGAATTGAATAATAATTAAGAAGAAATACTGAGCAGAGAGGAAAAATGATGGTGAGACACATGGCCCTGATTATGGTTTTAGGTGAGACATCATTGCATACAGAATCATGTCTAGTTTCAAAGGTTTTTTTGTTTGTTTGCTTCCCCTTTGAAGAAATGAAGCTAAAGAATTTTTACAGCAACTACATATATATATTGCCTTCATTCACAAAGGAATATTTTTTTACTTAAAATTAGATCTTGGAACAGAAAAAGATATTAATGGGAAATTGGAGCAGCTTGGTAGCATAGTGCCTAAGGCACTTGACTGCTGACCAGAAGGCTGGCAGTTCAAACCCACCAGCACTCCTCAGAAAGAAGACTGGGGAATCTACTTCCGTAGTGATACCACCTTGGAAACCCAAGGAAGGAGCACGATGAGTCACAGTCGACGCAACAGCAGTGAGAGTGTTTTAGGTAAAATTTGAATAAAGTCTAGAGTTTAGTCAATAGTATTGTACCAGTCTCAGTTTCTTCACTTTGACCCGTATACCATGATTATGTAAGATGTTAACTTTAGGGAAAGCTGGGCAAGGCCTTTAAGGGAAATTTCTGTGCTATCTTTGCAACTTTACTGTAAATCTAGATTAAATTATTCCAAAATCAAAAGCTGATTTTTAAAAAGTAACCCTATGCTCTCATTGTAGCCGCAGTGTCATTGTTGGTGCAGGTTACATTGCTGTGGAGATAGCTGGAATCCTTTCAGCTCTGGGTTCTAAGACATCGCTAATGATACGGCATGATAAGGTAAATGCTATCCTTTTTCCTTCCCTTTCCGTGTTAGTTTTTTTTTCTTATGTTGCCATTAAATACTAGGGTGCACACAAAACATGTGGGTGTCAGTTGGTCTGCTCCATTTGAGGGTGCATCCGAGTTAGTTGAATTTGGCCTTATACTCCCTCCCAGCTGCCAACTGTGAGTAGACAGTAGTGATTTTGATTGGATCATACTGGCTAGTGTTTTCATCGTGAAATGGCAGATAGTCATCGGATGCCTTGGTAAGAAGGCATGCAGGCTTAAATACAGATACTAGTTAAATTAAACAGACTGTCAGGCTAATTTCTTATTCTGGAATCAAGATCATATGACCAGGTAGTTAACAGAAAATTCAATTAAGTCTTCGTTAAAAGGAAACATAAGAGATCATCTGCTCAAACTGCAGCTTATAGATGAAGAAATGAAGACCAAGAGAGGTTTGTGACTGCTTTTTAGTATCAAAACTGGGAGTCATTGTCTCAGGAAGCCAGGCCAATATATTTTGTGCTGAAAGGCAGCCTCCATGTTTGTCATTCTTGATGAAGTGTTGCTTTCAGGTGGTTTGTTGATGAATTGTTACTGAATGCTGCTGCTGCTGTTGTGGCAAAACATTAGAGCTTTCAGACATGCTACTTCCTTAAAGATTTACTGCCTCGGGAACCCAAATGGGATCACAGTGAATTGGGATCACAGTGAATTGGAATCAACTTGATGGCAGTGAGTTTGATTTTTTTGGTTTAGTGGAGCAGTAACAAGAGTGTTGTTGTTGTTATGTGCCATCGAGTTGGCCCCAACTCATAGCGACCCCTCCTTGGTTTCCGAGGCAGTATCACTATGGAAGTAGATTGCCCAACCTAGCGTAGTGTCTAAGGCACTTGACTGCTAACCAGAAGGCTGTTGGTTCAAACCCACCGGCCGCTCCTCGGAAGGAAGATGGGGCAATCTACTTCTGTAGCCATACTGCCTTGGAAACCCAAGGAGGGGTCACTATGAGTCAGGTCCGACTTGACTCAACTGCACATAACAACAACAAAAGTGTTGGTTCAAGAGTTTGAGTCCCATTGTTAGCTGTCCCTAACAGCACATGACTCAAGCAAGTCACTTAATACCTTAGGGTCGTCATTCCACAAGGACAGGATTTCTCAGATCCCTGACCACTCAAATGCTATGATCCTGATTCTTGATTATTTGAGCTTATGGAGGGAGATGAGGGAAACAGATAATCCTAGGCAGTGTGTAATCCAAGGAGCTTTCTCTTTGGCTTTGAAACCTTGTCATGAAATTAACCCCCAAGAGATTTATGTCCTGAATAGTGTTTCTCATAGGTAAATTATTTTGCATTGCTGGAGTAGATCCAACAAACTGAAAAAAGAGAAAAAGCAGAGAGATAACCAGCCTGGATTTAATAAGCGAATAAGTAAATAAAAACAAACCCAGAACAGTTTATCAGGAGCTCTGTAGAGAATTCCTCCATTGAAAAATTGGCTTGTTTACAGAGAAACACATCTATTTGGGCTTCCTTTTCCCTCTTCCTGGTGTAACTGTTCTGGAACTATGCAATGAACTATGCATGACCTCCCAACTTAACCCGGCAAGAGGAGTAGGGACAAAATGTATCTACTTGTGTTATCACAAATCTCTAAGGCTAAGCTAATGAGATATCTGGGTAGATAAGGAAATTTTGGTAAAGAACCTTCCCTTAAATCATATCAGAAAGAAGGCTTTCCCTCGAATACTAAAGGAAGAAAGAGAATTTATTTTCCTTAGTCATATTGGGAAGAGAGGAATATGATGAACATAGTAGACGCCTGAAAGTTGACTATCCATTTCACTCTGAAACAAGAGTTGGTGGTGTCAAATGGAATTCTGACCTTGGTGGTGACTTTAGGAAAGTAAAGGATTTATTAAAATTCAACTCACAATAAGACCATGAATGAAGGACAGAACAAGTGGGAAGTCCCAAGTTTGTAGCATGTCTTTAATAGAGTTTTATTCCATTTCCCACCACCCTTCCCTCTGCTGTGTGTATACAGGTACTTAGAAATTTTGATTCAATGATCAGTTCAAACTGCACTGAAGAGCTGGAGAATTCCGGCATCGAGGTCCTCAAGCACTCCCAGGTATGACAGAGCCCATCGTGTACTGTTACAGCCCTTGTTCGCCTCTCTGTTGTGAATCCCACTTTTAGCTTATGCTTCACCTAATTTGTATATAAACACAGACAGTATGACTACTTCAGTCCACTTATTCCCTTCTAGAATCAATTATTGTCTTTTTCCTAAGAAACAGTGTTTCACATTAGTATGTTAATGGAGTTAAGGTATAAAAGATTAGAAATTTATTTTCTCACAGTTAGGAGGCTAGAAGTCCAAATTCAGGGCACCAGCTCAAGGGCAAGACTCTCTCTGTCCACTGTGGGGGAAAATCCTTGTCTTAGCTTTCCTGGCATTCTTTTTGGCTACTTGAAGATCCATGTGACATCCAGCTTTCCCCCATTTTGTTTGCTTGCTTCTGTGCCAAATCTGTTTTATCTCTCAAAAGGATTTAAAACACACCCTACACTAATATGAACTCACTAACATATTGAAAAATAAAAAAAAAAAAGGACTCTGGTAATGTAGTGCTTAAGGCATTTGACTGCTAACGAGAAGGCTGGTGGGTCAAACCCACCAGCCACTCCTGGGAAGAAAGATTGGATAATCTACTTCTTAGTGATATTTCCTCCCAAGGAGGGGTCCCTACTAGATGGCAGTGAGTTAGTTAACATATAAAAAAGAAAACTACTCTCAAATGGGATTACATCCACAGGTACAAAACCAAAACCCATTGCTGTGGAGTAGACAACCCTATAGGACAGAGTAAAATTCATACCACACTCATGTTGTTGTTGTTGTTGTTATGCGCTGTCAAGTTGACCCAACTCATAGCGACCCCTCCTTGGGTTTCCGAGGCAGTTTCACTACGGAAGTAGATTGCCCCATCTTCCTTCTGAGGAGTGGCTGGTGGGTTTGAACCACCAGCCTTCTGGTTAGCAGTCAAGTCCCTTAGGTACTACACTACTCATAGCAACACTATAGAACAGAGAAGAACTGCCCCATAGGGTTTCTAAGACTGCCATATCTTTCTTCTGAGGAATGCTGGTGGGTTTGAACCACAAACCTTTCGGTTAGCAGACCAGTGCTTAACCACTATGCCAGCAGAGCTCCAGTTCCACAGGTAGAGGGGTTAGGATTTACAGCACATATTTTTGGTGGGCACGATTCAATCCATAACAGAGGGTGACATAAACTGACATTTCTAGTTAGCCACTGGATGGTTTCGGACAACCTTGAAAACTGGCCCTCGGGAAACTGTTCATGGCCTTATATCACTGGAGGTTTTTGTTGTTATTGTTGTTAAGAATTCTAGTTACATCTCTATTTTCTTTCCTTTTTATAATTTGTAATGTTTTCCCCATTTAAACACATTTTACTTGCCAACAGGTCAAGGAAGTTAAAGAGACCTCATCAGGCTTGGAGCTCAGCATGGTTACTTCAGCTCCTGGTAGGAAACCCACCATTGCCACAATTCCAGATGTTGACTGCCTGCTGTGGGCCATTGGGCGGGACCCAAATTCCAGGGGCCTTAACTTAAACAAACTGGTAAGCTGATTTCAAACCAGTTTCCATGAAGTTGACTCCAACTCATGGCAACTCTTTGTGTATCAGAATGAAACTGTGCTCTGTAGGGTTTTCGATGGCTAATTTTTTGAAAGTAAATCACCAGGTCTTTCTTCCAAGGCACCACTGGGTGGCCTGGAACTTACAACCTTTTGTTTAGCAGACAAGCACATTAACCATTTGCACTGCCCAGGTTTTTTTAAGCTGACTTGTTGTTGTTGTTATGTGCCATCGAGTCAGACCGACCCATAGTGACCCTTCCTTGGGTTTCCGAGGCAATATCACTACGGAAGTAGATTGCCCCATCTTCCTTCTGAGGAGTGGCCAGTGGATTTGAACCGCTAGCCTTCTGGTTAGCAGTCAAGTGCCTTAGGCACTACGCTACCAGAGCTCCTTACTCTGCCCTAAATATTCTTGAATCTGTTAGTGGCCCTGTAATTTCATCTCCATAAACCAAAACCAAACTCACTGCCATCAAGTCGATTCCAACTCATAGCGACCCCTTTGAGTTTCCAAGGCAATAAATCTTTATGGAAGTAGATTGCCCAGTCTTCCTTCTGTGGAGTGGCTGGTGGGTTTGAACCGCCAACCTGCTGTTTAGCAGTCAAATGCCTTAGGCACTACACCACCAGAGCTCCTTTTTTTCTCCATAGACACCCAAAATTTAGGTGGGCTATATTGAATTCTCTTTATTCTGCATGTCCAGTTTGTCATAAAATCCCATTGCTTCATCCTTTGACATTAAAAATAAAATCTCTTTTTTCCTTTCTAGTGTCATCACCCTAAATCAGGTCTGTCACCCCTAATCTATATTGTCTAGCAGTTTTCTGACTAGCCTCCTTCTTATAGACTTTGTTTTTACTATCATACTTGTCTCATTGAAGTTCTATAATGATTTCTTATTGTCTGCAGCATCTAACCTAGATTGCTGAGTGAGTAGCACATCATGGGCAGTGTAGTAAATAGGGATGCAACAGACGTGAAGCTAATCTCTCTTGGCTTTACCAGTGCTATATATGCAATCAGGAGCTCTGGTAGCATAGTGCCTAAGGCACTTGACTGCTCACCAGAAGGCTGGCGGTTCAAACCCACCAGCCACTCCTCAGAAGGAAGGTTGGGCAATCCTACTTCTGTAGTGATACTGCCTCTGAAACCCAAGGAGAGGTCGCTATGAGTCAGGCAGGCTCCATGGCAAACAACAACAACAATATATGCAATCAGCATTCCTATCTGTAGTTTTAAATTTTGAAATCAAGTCTAGCATAGTAGCTTGGTTCCTGGAATTGACCCAAGTTTGAACCTTAGTTGTACTACCTACAGGTTGCATGGTCTTAAGCAAGCAGTTTAATCTTCCTAAGTTTCAGTTGCTTCATACAGGATTTGTGAATAAAAATAGTACTTGCTTCATTGGGTTATAAAGAAGAGTACATGAGAAATTGCACATTAACCTGCTGCTGTTAATGATGATGATAGTTTTTCTGATATGCTGTTCTGCTCTACTAGTCATAATAGAATATTTTATATGTTTAAGGTTTATGTGTCTGATGGAGCCTCTTGAGCAATCTGTAACATTTTGTTTTATGTTGTGTAATAATTTCTGCTATAATGTGGATTCTTTTTATTTTTTTACCTTCTATAAGGTTACTTTTCAGCATTTTGAAGAAAATCATAGCTAGGGAGATACTTTACTTGCTTTTAGTCATGTTCAATGAAATTCGGTAAACGATTAATGTCCTATTCTCATCCAGGTAAAGGGCAGGAGGCAGGCAGCCCCAGACCCCAGAGCTAGGAAAGGGAGGGGGAGAGCACCGGGGACTACAAAAGCCACAGGATTAAGGAAAAAGGCTCAGGATCCAGGTAAGGGGCAGGAGGCAGGCAGGCCCCAGCCTCCAGAGCCAGGAAAGGGAGGGAGAGAGCGCCAGGGACCACAAAACCCACAGGATCCAGGTAGGAATTAGGTAAGCAGAGGGCAGAGAGGTTTCCAACAGCTAAGGGAAACAACTTATCTATCAGTTTGTCATCTTGTGTGGCTATCACGTAGTTGTGAGGCTGTGCCACCCGTGTTTCAAATACTAGCAGGGTTGCACATGGTGCACAGGTTTCAATGCAACTTACAGACTAGGAAGAAGGAAGAGTCCATCCACTTCTCAAAAACCTGGCCAGGAGAAACCTTCTGAATAGCAGAGAAACACTGTCTGATACATTACTGGCAAGTTTATGAATAGCCTGGAAATATTGTCTGACACAGTGCAGAAAGACCAGCCCCTTGAGTCAGAAGGCACTCAAAATAGGACTAGGAAAGAGCTGCCTCATCAGAGTAGAACCAACCTTAATGGTACGGATAAAGTAAATCTTTTGGGATTTCCACATGCTGATATGGCACAACTCAAATTGAGAAGAAACAGCTGCAAACATCCATTAATATTTGGATCATGGAATGTATGAAGTATGAATCTAGGAAAACTGGAGGTTGTCAAAAATGAAATGGAATGCATAAAGATTGATATCCTACACATTAGTGAGCTGAAATGGACTGGTTTTGGCCATTTTGAATCAGACAACCATATGATCTACTATGCCAGGAATGACAAATTGAAGAGGAATGATGTGGCATTCATCATCACAAAGGATGATTCAAGATCTGACCTGAAGTACAATGCTGCCAGTGATAGAATAATATCCATACGCCTACAGGGAAGACCCGTTAACACTACTATTATTCAAATTTACTCATCAACTACCAAAGCCAAAGATGAGGAAATTGAAGATTTTTATCAACGTCTGCAGTCTGAAATTGACGGAACGTGTAATCAAGGTGTGTTAATTATCACTGGTGATGAATGCAAAAGTTGGAAATGAAGAATCACCGATAGTTGGAAAATTTGTCCTGGTGACAAAAATAACACTGGAGATCGGATGATAGAATTTTGCAAGACCAATGCCTTATTCATTGTAAATACCTTTTTTCAACAACACAAATGGTGGCTACACACGTGAACTTCACCAGATGTAGTGCACAGGAATCAGATTGACTACGTCTATGGCAAGAGGAGATGGAAAAGTTCAGTATCTTCTGCCGAAACAAGGCCAGGAGCTGATTGTGGAGTAGACCATCAACTGCTCATATGCAAGTTCAACTTGAAGTTGAAGACAGTTAAAACAAGTCCACGACAGCCAAAATATGACCTTGAATATATCCCTTCTGAATTTAGAGACCATCTAAAGAATAGAGTTGATGCATTGAACACCAGTGACCAAAAAACAGAAGAATTGTGGGATGACATCAATAACATCATCCACGAAGAAAGCAATAGGTCATTAATAATACAAAAAGAAAGAAAAGACCAAAATGGATGTCAGAAGAGACTCTGAAACTTGCCCTTGAGCGAAGAGTAGCTAAAGCAAATGGAAGAAATGATAAAAGAGCTGAACAGAAGATTTCAAAGAGCAGCTCGAGAAGACAAAGTCAATTATTATAATGAAATGTGCAAAGACCTGGAGTTAGAACACCAGAAGGGAAGAACACAGTCAGAATTTCTCATGCTGAAAGAACTGAGAAAAAAATTTAAGCCCTGAGTTGCAATATTGAAAGATTCTATTGGCAACATATTGAATGATGCAGGAAGCATCAAAAGAAGATGGAAAGAATACACAGAGTCACTGTACTGAATAGAACTGGTCGATCTTCATCCATTTCAGGAGGAGGCATACGTTCAAGAACCAATGATATTGAAGGAAGAAGTCAAAGCTGCACTGAAGGAATTGGGGAAAAACAAGGCTCCAGGAATTGACAAAATACCCATTGAGATGTTTCAACAAATGGAGGCCCTCCTGGAGGCACTCACTCATTTCTTCCAAGAGATTTGGAAGACAGCTACCTGGCCAACTGACTGGAAGAGATCTTTATTTGTACCCGTTCCAAAGAAAGGTAATCTCACAGAATGTGGAAATTATCTAACAATATTGTTAATATCACATGCAAGTAAAATCTAACTGAAGATAATTCAAAAATGATTGCAGTAGTACATTGACAGAGAACTTCCAGAGATGCAGGCTGGATTCAGAAGAGGACGTGGAATGAGGGATATCATTGCTAATGTCAGATGGATCTTGGCTCAAAGCAAAGAATGCCACAAAGATGTTTACTTGTGTTTTATTGACTATGCCAAAGCATTTGATCGTGTAAATCATAACAAATTGTGGAAAACATTGAGAAGAATGGGAATTCCGGAACATTTAATCGTACTCATGAGGAACCTGTACATAGAACAGAAAGCTGTTGTTCAAACAGAACAAGGGGACACTGCATGGTTTAAAATCAAGAAGGGAGTGCGTCAATTTTGTATCCTTTCACCATACTTATTCAATCTGTATGCTGAGCGAATAATCCGAGAAGTTGGACTGTGTGAAGAAGAACGTGGCATGAGGACTGGAGGAAGAATCATTTACAACCTGCAATACACTGATGACACAACTTTGCTTGCTGAAAGTGAGGTTGACTTGAAGCACTTACTGATGAAGATTGAAGAATACAGTCTGCAGTATGGATTACATCTCAATATAAAGAAAACAAAAATCCTCACAACTGGAGCATCATGATAAATGGAGAAAAGATTGAAGTTGTCAGAGACTTCACATTGTTTGGTTCTACAGTCAATGACAGTGGAAGTATCAGTCAGGACATCAGATGACATACAGCACTGGGCAAGTCAGCTGCAAAGGACCTCTTTCAAGTGCTGAAGAGCATAGATGTCTTCTTGAGGACTAAGGTGCCCCTGACACAAGCTATGGTATTTTCAATCCCTGATATGTGTGTGAGAGCTGGACAGTGAATAAGGAAGACTGAAGCAGAACTGATGCTTTTGAGTTGTGATGTTGGCAAAGAATGCTGAAAGTACCATGGACTGCTAAAAGAACTAACAGATCTGTCCTGGAGGAACTGCAGCTGGAATGCCTCTTGGAGGTGAGAATAGCCAGACTTTGTCTCACATACTTTGGCCATTTTGTCAGAAGGGACCATTTCCTGAAGAAGGATGTCATGCTTGGTAAGGTGGGGGGTCGACAAAGGACGGGAAGGCCCTCAATGATTGACATGGTGGCAGCTGTGATGGGCTCAACTATAGCAAGGATCATGGGTTGGTGCAAGAACAGGCAGTGTTTCATTCTGCTATGCATGGAGTCACTATGAGTCAGAGATGACTCGATGGCACCTAACAACAACAATTCTCATATTAGTGAAACTAGTCATACAACTTTCACCTTTCTAGAAATAACTGCCTTTTAGAGATCTAGTTGTCAACTATATTTGCTGAATTTTTGAAGATGAAACAAAAAAATTCCATTTTCATTCAATGTTAATATATATTTGTATAATGCTAATAGATTATTGTGAGCTATGCCCTGTAAATGCATTAATATCTAATTTAATCTTGCCTACCACTCTGTGTGTGGATGCTTGAACAATTTCTCTTAGAAAGATCAGCACGAGGCCGGTCACCATGAGGCGGAGGTTAAAGATGTCCCAAATGTCCAAACTACTATGCCACTCCATCATTTCAGACATTAACTCCTCCTGCTCCTCCCAGTAATTTCCCCAGTCTTAGGGTTCTGTATTTCGCTGTAACGCCTCACAGAACTCACAGACACCCAAGGGTTCGTCTCACATAGTAGTGGTGGAGGCTGGCAGGCTGGCAAGTCCCGGGTCCGTAAGTCTGTCTGGTGGATCCTCCCAACTCTCGGGGTTTGATGAACCTCGATCAGCAGATCAGATGACAGCTTCTGTCCCAAATCCAGGGGTGAGATGAGGATGATCCAAGACACAAAGCCGGAGCAAGAGGAGAGCGAATCTTCCCAGCAGATTCGTAGGTATACCCTCAGGGAAGCTAAGGGTGGTGATTTGAATTATACCCTCCAGCAAGGCAGGACTCAAGATACATTCCACCTGTGTTGCCCCAACAGAATTAACCTAAATCCCATCACAGAGTCGCTTGCCAGTCATTATAGGGAATGACTACTACCAGCTGCCCAGCCAAGTTGATACCTGACCTTAACTACCACACCATCTCAAATAGGCATGAATAATGGGATTTACAAAACATCACAGAATGGAGGACAATGGCTAGAAGGGCCACATCAAACAATTCACTGCAGTGGAATAAGGATGAAAATACCAGAAGCACAGAGATGATAAGTAATTTACTAGGCCGTGATCTCCATGAAGTAGGGAAGATGTCTATCTTACTGCTGTTTGCCCAGTGCCTAGGTTAATGCTGCATTTGTAATACTCGCTGCTGTCAAGTCTGTTCCAACACCTAGTGATCCCTCCTTGGCTTCCGAGGTGGTATCTCTGTGGAAGTAGATTGCCCAGTCTTCCTTCCTAGGAGAGGCTGGTGGGTTTGAATAGAAGCTCATATATTTATTGATAAGTAAGTGGCTGTACGAGCCTCATGACTACTAAGTAGCAGAGCTGATTTGAGCCCAGGCCCAGTCTGACTCCAGAGGTTGTACTCTTAACCACTCTGCTACCTCCTTCCTAATTATACTATATCGCTGCTTCTCACATTGGAAAATGTGCACCTGGGATTTGCAAGCTCACACAATAAGCATGGTACATCTTGAAGCAAAAATTTGACCTAAGTAATTTATAGGAAATTTTTTTTTGGTTAAAACAAATAGTATGTTTTAGAGTAGAATGCAATATCTACAAGGTAAAATAGTAAGCTTCAAAAATATCTTATGCTTTTAGTGAGTGCTTCATGCTGTACCTTTCAAAGGAATGAGCCAGCATGCCTAAGGAGGAGTGAGAAAAGTTGAAAAGCAGTGTCTTAGGTGGACTTTGCAGAGATAGCAAGTAACATCTGATAGTTGAGTGCCTCCTTGTCTAGCTTCAGTGGTTCCTTTTCATGTTTACCTGGACAGTTGAATTGTACATTGCAAAGTCAAATCCTATTAAAACACCTCAAAATATATACCTTTTAAATTAAGCGAAAGGAATGAAGCTAGCCAACTTTAAATGGTTTTCGTCTTGTGAATGAGTCTTGTGGTTTCTTGGCAGTTCTGACTGAAGGGGTGCCAATGTGAAATGAGTCTGATCCTTGAGGATTGTTCTGACATCTTTATAAATGGGCCAAGTATTTACATGATGTCTCTTTATCATTTTAGGGAATTCAAACTGATGACAAAGGTCATATCATAGTAGATGAATTCCAGAATACTAGTGTCAAAGGAATTTATGCAGTTGGGGATGTATGTGGAAGAGCTCTTCTTACTCCAGGTAATGTTTCCTGTTTGAATAAAGGAGGCCCTGTGTGTTATACAAACTTATGCATCATAGTCAAGTCAACTTAAGCAGAGTTTAAAGGATGAGTATCTTTATGTCATGAAAATTATTTATATTTACATATATATATACACACACATATATAATACTTATTTCCTAATGTATATTATATACTTGACTTTTTCTGAATAATACTCATTTTTTATCAGAAGACTGAAAAAAATGCCTTGTAAAGACTAACATTTTCGTAGAGAGAATATGGTCATCCTCTGTAAAACACTGTAAGTTAGAATCATAGTTGTATATGGTGACAGAGGAAGGAAATGGCTTTGGGGGAGAAGTAATTTAGACTGGCATTATATATGACATGTGGTCTTGTTTTAACCAAGTTTGAGTTCTTCACTCCCACCCCTCCATGCACTTCTTGAGTTAACTGGCACCACTTCCAGATCTTTGTCCCACCACGATCCATCATTTACCTCACTCATTCATACGCTTTGACTCTGGTCATTATGAGCCCTCACCAGCTTTTCTAAAATGGTCCTGAGGACACCCAAAGCCTTTTAGCTCCTTTGGGAAGTTCTCTTAACAAAGCAAAGTAACAAGCAAAATTTCAAAAACTTCATAATGTAACATAGCAGTTAAAAATGATGTCAAAATGAAAACAATTTCTTATGTCTTCTACCAATAATTTACTTTGATAAAACATTGTCGATTTGAAATCAACAAAATTATAAACTGATATTTTTACTCCACTCAGCGTTTAAAAAATAATGTTATTGATAAAACCAGCTAAGGATTGTAAACTTTTAAATCAAAATATTAAAAAAAAAAAAAAAACTTTACTGTGAAATGAATGTGGTTATAAAGTAGAATGAAGATACCTGAAATTAGTATAGTTTGTTCCATATGTATTGTAAAATATTTGATATTTATAAAGTAGATTAATTGGTAATTGATGGAGAAATTGTGAATATGTCTTTGTTTTATTTTAACAGAACGTATGGAATTCACATAAATCAGTAGTTTTGAATTTTTAACTAAGACATTGATACATCTTCATCATATTGAACTAGATATTATAATGAACATTAGCGTAAAACTTTGTCAGGACTAGTATGTTAAGCACATGAATAAATGGTTCTTAGAACAATTCTGCTGTGTTAAAATGAACAGTAAGATAAACACTGATTTTAAAATACCTTTGTAGTTGCAATTGCTGCTGGCCGCAAACTTGCCCATAGACTTTTTGAATGCAAACAAGATTCCAAATTAGACTATGACAACATCCCTACTGTGGTCTTCAGTCACCCCCCTATTGGGACAGTGGGACTCACAGAAGGTAGGTATTTAAAAAAAGAAGGTCATTTTCTACCCCCTCTGTCAGCTGACTAATCACTTAGTCTCCTATGTTATATTTCTTTTTGGTTAGTCTCTGGTCACAATTCAAATTTTCTCCCCAACTGCTAGTATTTAGAAGGTACAGTCCCCCCGCTCCCCCTAATGTATCTCTTGCCTTTTGTTTAGGTGTTGTTTTTTTTTAAAATTAATTTCACACTTAAAGTTGCAAGAGTAGTACAAAGCACTCCTTTTAACAATTTTGCTTTATCATCCTCCTTCTCTTCCCACACACTCACACATTCTTCAGTGTTTATTTCCTAATTGTACGATCATTCTCTTACATTAGCACAGTACAGTTTCCAAAATGAGAAAATTAGAATTGGTACAATATAATCTAAACTATAGGCCTTATGCAGATTTTGCTTATAATCTCAGCAGTGTTCTTTAAAACATTTTTCCCTAGTCTGGTATCCATTCCTCGGAAGGAAGGTTGGGCAATCCTACTTCCGTAGTGATACTGCCTCAGAAACCCAAGGAGGGGTCGCTTGAGTCGGGGCCGACTCGACAGCACATAACAACAACAACAACAACAGTATCCATTCAGTCTCTGAGTGACACAAACAGTTTGTACTCTGCTGCTAACAGAAAGGTTGATGGGTCAAACCCATCCAGTGGCACTGTGGAAAGCCTTGATGATTTGCCTCTGTAAGAATTAACTAACTAACTCACTGCCATCAAGTCGATTTCTACTCATAGCAACGCCTCCTTGGGTTTCTGAGGCAGTATCACTACGGAAGTAGATTGCCCCTTCTTCCTTCTGAGGAGTGGCTGGTGGGTTTGTACTGCCATCCTTCTGGTTAGCAGTCAGATGCTTTAGGCATTACGCTATCAGAGGTCCTCTGTAAGGATTACAGCCAAGAAAACCTTATGGAGCTCAGTTCTACTCTAAAACATGGATTTACCATGTGTTGGAATTGACTCAGTGGCAGTGGCTTTGGTTTAGTGTTTTGGAGTATCCATTTGGGATAATGCATTACATTTAGTTTTCATATATTTTTAGTCTCTTTTAATCTAGAGACAGTATTCTTCTATGACATCAACATTTCATGACATAGACATTTGTTTTGTAGAATGTCCTTGGTTTCAGTTTTGTTTATTGTTTCCTTATGATTTGATACAGTTATATGTTTTTGGCTATTTATCTTTTTGAAAGCCTAGTGTAATTGTTTAGACTTTTAATAGATGTTTCCTTTATGTGCATTATAGATGAAGCCATTAACAAATATGGAAAAGAAAATGTGAAGATCTATTCAACCACCTTTACCCCAATGTATCATGCAGTTACAAAAAGGAAAACAAAATGTGTGATGAAAATGGTTTGTGCTAACAAAGAGGAGAAGGTATGGGAAAAATTCAGTAAGCTAAATAGTCCTCTGCATGGCTGACAGGGATATTGGTATTTTTGTGGGGTGGGGAGGGAGAAGAACATGTCATTAAGCCTTCTGATTCAGCTAGTGCAGTTCCACGTTTATCTGTTGGAGTTTTTCATATATTTATTTAGAAAGAAGGTTCTACTGCTTTTAAAAGATAAAGGGGAAAGGTTGGAAACCACAGCTCAGCATCTTTGACAGTAAGCCCACCATTATTAACCAATAAGCCAGAATAGCTGTGAAACACAGAAATACTGATAAACCTAAGAATGTTATGGTCAGTAAATTTAAATTTAACATAGCAAGTCAGTGAAGAAGATTATTTAATAAAATTTTCTGCGGAAAACGATTATCTCTAGTTGGTTTAATTTTTTGAGGAATTGCCACACTGTTTTCCAAAATGACTGCCCCATATTACATTCCCACTAGCAGTGTATAACAATACCAATTCGCCACATTTTCACCTACTCTGGTTATTGTCTGATTATAGCTGTCCTAATGGTTGTGAAGTGGTATCTCATTGTGGTTTCAATTTGCATTTGAACAGGTTTTCTTTTATAATTTTGAAAATAGGTTTTGTTTTGGTATTAGGTCAGCCTACTGGGCTGTTTCCATTAATTGAATTAAATATCAAAGTGGAACTTAGCATTGTGCCTTGGGATCATAGCTTTGTGAGGGACAGTGGCTTGATTGAAACTTCAGATACAGTTTCCAACTTCTTTTATGAAAAAGGGTATAGTCTGGCTGGTTCCATAGCCCATACCCCAAAAGCCATAGGACATAGTCCTCGGCTTTATAGAATTTAATATTGCTGAGGATTGACAGAAGCAGAGAATCAGAGCAAATGGAAGAAAGTACATAGATGGACAGCAGAACAAATGTTACTGTTTGTTTCTCAGTAGCCTAAGATACCTGGATAATAGATCAACAGGGTCCCTCCTTATCTCTTCATATCAGTTATTTCTTCATACCAGTTATTCATTCATTTGATAGGCATTGTCTGATAGTCTCTAAAGACTTGCAACTGGGATATGCCCTCGCCATTACCAAAGACTCTATGTAAGTTCAACTTAGATCATAATAACTAATAGTCACTATGTTCAATGCATCTATATTACTTAATTTGGGTTTTTTAAAGAATTGAGACATAGTTGATTTGGTTTTGAACAAATTATTTCTGTAGCTACATTTTATGTCCTCTAATTTTGCTTTTTAATAGAATATTTACCTAAATATTCTAAAAGTGAACATTAGCTAATAATGGTAAGATGTATTGAACAACCTTGCTGGAAAATGAGATTTGAAACAAATACCTCTTGAAAATCACTCATGAAATCATCCAACATATATGGACTGAGGTCTCCTAAGTGTCAGTCTTTGCTGGGCCATGGAGATAGAGGAGTGAGCAAACACCAGCAGGGTCCTTGTTCTATAGAGATTAACATCTGCCATTGGGAAGGTACAACTATGTAGCTATGTGAAGACTAAGTAGGCTTTAACTATTAACTATGAGGGGAGGAAAGATTGTCCTCACAGAAGGAACAATTTGTACAAAAGAGGAAGCATGGTGAATGCTTGGGATAGAAGTAAAGTTGGGGGTGGGGAGGGTGGGCAGAGCAAGGAAAGCCTGAGAGAGCTGTGTGAGATGGGCTGAAGGCTGGACATGGAGATGGGACTGCCCATGGCTTTATAGGCTGTGTTACTTTGTGTTGGGCTTAGAAATCTCATATGGTGTTTAGGGGTTTTAAGATATCAGGTACCTCTTGTGACTGTGTACCAATTATAAAATTTCACTTAACAATTATTTTTCTTTCAGGTGGTTGGGATCCATATGCAAGGAATTGGGTGTGATGAAATGCTGCAGGGTTTTGCTGTTGCAGTAAAAATGGGAGCAACCAAGGCCGACTTTGACAACACAGTTGCCATTCACCCTACCTCTTCAGAAGAACTGGTCACGCTTCGCTGAAAACCCAGAGGCTGGTGTGCTTGGCAGCCAGACCAGTAGACCTTCTGAAATGAACCAAATAATCACATTTGTTTACTGTTCCAATTTTATGTATTTCTTTATTTTAATTAGGATCTTCGTATAGTGGGAAATTTCAGTAAATAATAGAACTTATTTATGTAATTAGAAATTTGTTTTGTTATGTAGCATTAATTTTCATTTGATCGCCTCTCACATTAATTGAGATTTTATTGTGTGTGTATGTGTTTAACAGGTCTGTGAAACTGTGTTAGCTGAGTTACTTGTTTTTCCTGTTTCAGCTTCATCCCAAGTATGAAACTCTGTGAAGTACAGTTAATGTACTTGAATGAATATAGCTTGTATAGAGGAGGATGGCAGCAGCTCTTCATAATTTAAATAATGCATATGCACAGAATCTCTTTATTTTTCTGGAGCCAGTCCTGTGCTCTGCATATTGCAAAGCTGCTTCAAGGATGTGACCTTTCTCTAAAAAGTACATGACAGAAAAGTCCTGCTTCCCTTGTTTTTGTTCTTTCTTTCTTTTTTTTAGTGATTGAAAGGTGTTTGTGTTGTTTTTATGAGATGAAGTACTAGTTAAATATCTGAGGGACATGTGAAAAGTGACTCCTGCTTGCACAGAGGGGTGGATGCAAGTACTTCAAAAGTCCCTTCCTTTTCTAAATGTCTGTACTTCAATGAATAACTTCAATATTTGTATGTGTTGTTGTCATTTTACTTTTTCTGAAAACTATTCCAAAAATTTTAAAATAAAGCATAGCCTTTGCATCTTTTAACATTTGTTATTATGAATGTATGAGTTTTGTTTTAGGTTGGGTTCTCTAGAGAAGCAGAAACAGTGAAGTTTATTTATACAGAGAGAGAAAATTTATGTCAAGGAAATGGCTCATACAGTTGTTTGTTGTTGTTACATGCCATCAAGTTAGACCCAACTCATAGAGACCCCTACTTGGGTTTCTGAGATGGTATCACTGCAGAAGTAGATTGCCCAATCTTCCTTCTGAGGAGTGGCTGGTGGGTTTGAACCTCCAGGCTTCTGGTTAGCAGTCAAGTGCCTACCAGAGCTCCCACGCAGTTGTGGAGGCTGTCAAATCCCAAGTCTGTAGATCAGACGTCAAGTTCAGGCTTCTGACTGGTGTAGCTGCAGTGGCTGACAAACCCATGATCAGCAGGCAGCATAGCCTGACTTCGGAGGCTGATGAATCCAAGATCGGCAGTTAAAATGGCAGATTTTGGCCTCACAGGCTGCAAAGGCAACAATCCCTGGATTACCAGGCAATACAACAGGCCACTGGTTCAAGTCCAGGAACCAGAGATGATAAAGAGCCAGATGCAGGAGAACTTTTGCCAGGATATCCATATCCATATATATATATAGGAAGCAAGCTACACCCCTGAGGAAACTCCCTTTCAACTGATTGGCTGCTCACAGCAGATCTCATCATGAAAGTGATTATATTATATCAGATTTCATCATAGGCAATAACTATCATAACTGCTAAACAGCTGAGAATCGTGGCCCAGCCAGGATGACACACAACCTTAACTATCACATGTTCTAATATACTTTCTAAGAGTATTTCACATTGGAGGATCATACCCCAACACTTAGGCTTAGGAAGGCTTAAGGCTTTAATGGGGAGAAAAAGAGATTTCTCTTTTATCAATAAAGACCAGGAATGTAAAAGAAACATTTAACAAATTAACTATCTGGAAGAATAGCTTAGAAATAGCTTACATTTTAAACAGTTTAGGCTTTGTCAGCTAGATAAGTTATTTTTCCATGGCATTTATTAGTGGTATAGTACTACTGCATTCTTTCATTAAGCTTTTGCTGAATGCTTCTCTGGTGGGCCACAGCCAGGTTACTGCACTGATTTCTCTAGTAGGCTTAATGCCAACAAAGGAAAACTATCTCAGTGGTAACTAGGTTTTGTAACTGTGGTACGGCAAGAAAATAGGATCCCAAAACCTGGGCATGGACTGATGTGGCCAATTCACCTCCTTCCCCACTGCAAAAAGGGCAGGGAGGCCACATGTTCTGACCTCCTCTAACCTTACAAGAGGAAGACAGGATTACCAGCAGTAACCTAAGGCCTATTACTGCCAGGCCAGACATGCTGCCTCCATCCAGCCCTTTCTCCAACCATTCCTCCCAAAGCACCCACCACCTCTCTCCTGGGTTCGATAATTCGCTGCAATGGCCACACAGAGCTCACAGAATATGAGGTTTATTAGGGAAGCACCAAGCTACAATCTGATTTCAGGAAAAATGCTCAGTCTCTCTCCCAGCCCACCGTCCCTCAGCCAACAGTCTCTCACAGTCTCTTTCCCAACAGTGCTGGTCCCTCGGCGTCTCACTCAGCAATGCGTGTCTCTTGCGTCTCTTTCCCAGCAGCACGTGTCTCTTTCGGCAGCACGTCTTCCTCAACCAGCAGTGAGAGAGAGCTCTGCCTCCAGGAGGCCTCCTTTTGAGCCCGGAAGGGTGGTCAAACTAGCCAATCACAGCATCAGAACTCTAAGCACGTGAGAGAGAGTGGGAACCTCCCAGAACATTGTTTTGTGCCAATCCCAACAGAAATACTCCAGGTGGACAACTTTAGCAATCAGGAGCTCCTCAGTTGCTCATAGCAAATCCCACCTTGGAGTTTACAAAGACTTATGGGTAGAAAAGCCACACAAAGTAATTTACTACACCGCACCCACCTAAAAGATAGTGGGCCAAGCCTCTGGGCTCCACTTGGTTTCTTACTCTGCACAGGCCTCAAACTTTGGGTGCATTTCTACAAGGAAAAGGGTAGACCGCATTAGTCAATTCCACTGTGACACCATGTATTCTTTTTTTTAAATACATTTTATTGAAATATAATTTATATGCAGTGAAATACACAAGACACCATGTATTCTTGATCCCAATGTATCTTGTACATTGTTTGCTGTTTGTATAGTAAACCAACATGAAAGTAACTTTAATAGAGTTGTGGTCTTCATTCTCATCAGTCCTCAAATGGGTCTTACCCTTGATAGATGATCTGGCCCAATCCAGCCTCCATTACACAGCGCACTGGAGAATATAAAGGTGAACAGGCAGCTCATTGGACAATGTCTGGTATATTGTAGGTGCTCAACAGATATTTGAAGAAAAGATGGTAGTTGCTTTCAGGTAACCTTATAGTCTAGAATGAGAGAAGATCTCTGCACAAATTGCCTCAAACTACATTTTGAGGCAATGTGTTAAGTACAGAGTGACCATGTGATTTGTTGACTGAAATGGGACACTTGAGAGTGAAAGGGGACACTATTAATAATTGAAACAATAGGCACAAATTGGTACAGTGACATACAGGACAGTGACGCCCTAGTTAAGCATTATTAAAGAGGCAAAAGTACCATCCTGCCAGGAAAACTAAGGAAGGCTTTGGGAAAGAGGTTGCACAGGATTTGGAACCTGGGGATTGTGAAGAAGGACAAAGCAGGTGGAAGGTACAGTGAAGGTAGGATTGGGCAAAGTACACACGGGATGTGGTAGAGCTCATTGAGTGTATATTGTTTTTTTGTGGAATGTCTTTCCCCACTTGTTTACCTGGTGATCTGGTTATGTATTGTTGCATAACAAACTACTTGAAAACTTAGTGACTTAAAACAGCAACAATTTTTTTATGTCTTAGGATTTTGTAGGTCAGGAACTGGAGCAATGATCAGCTAGATGATTGTTCTGTTCCAGCGGTATTGACATGTTGACAGAGGTCATTTGGTGGTATTCACCTAGCAGATGGACTGGTCTATGGCACTTTGGCAAGGATGGCTAGATTGGGACTGTCAACCAGAGTGGCTACACGTAGCCTCCCTAGCATGGCATTCTCAGGATAATGGACTTAACATGGAAATGCAGGGCTTCCAGAATGTTTCAAAAGTCCTGGCAAAAGCCTTCTTATAACCTAGCCTCAGAAGTTCTAGAACATCATTTCTGTCACTTGCTATTGATTAAGCAAGTCACTGAGGCCAGCCCAGATTCAAGGAGAAGAGAGCTGGATGTCACTTCTTAGTGGGAGGAATGGTAAAATAATTGTGGCCATCTTTAATCACCCACACCTGGCAATTTCTTGTTTATTTTACAAAACCAAAAACCAAACTTACTGGCATTGAGTTGATTCTGACTCATAGTGATCCCCATTGGGTTTCCAAGGCTGTAACATCATCTCTGTGAAGACTTTTTCTTTTGCAGTTTTATGTGTTGTATTATGTGTTCCCATAACACCTTGTCAGATTATAGATCTACAGTAAATGTTCACCTTAATGTAGGTCATTTTGCACTTGTGTCAATCATTTAAATTTATGGACGTCCTCTCTTCACTTATTGACCTTCTTGTCTGACACCGCATTTATGACAATAGTGAAATATCTACTACCCAAATATTTTTTGCATTAATGACATAGTGTGACAGTAAAGAACACCAAGGTGTGAGGCAAGAGTAATAGTGGTTGTGATGGTTAAGTTTATGTGTCAACTTGTCTGGTCATGATACTCAGTGGTTTGGCAGTTTACATGTAAAGATGTAATTTGGCAGTTATATAATGATGTAGTCATCTTCCATTTTGTGATCTGATATGGTCAGCCTCCATATCCACATAATGTCGATTTTTGCATAATGACATGGTCTTTGAAACCTAACCATGTCAGTAATTGAGGAATAGTTGTACATTTTTACCTATAGGGAGAGCAGACCAGAAAAAGAACAAAGCTTCAATCAGTGAAGAACAGAAGTCACTCATTCAGTGAGAGAGTGGGATATTTGGTATTTTGTATTACACAGTGAACTTGTCTAAAGTGGATGTGCTATGAGATTTTTGTATCTGACAGGAGAACAATATGATTTCGTTATCAGATCAGTTTGTAATTACATGGAGGCTTGAGTGTCAAATCAGTTCTCAGAATTCAGGGCTCCTTTTTTCTTTCTCAGATAGTTGGTTATTGGTGACTT